CCTTCCCTGGGGTCCCCAGAGCACTTGTTACTCCCCTCTTTCCTAGCACTGCTCTGCACTGCGGCAGGTTTAAGAGCCATCTTTGGCATGTTGGCAAGAAGATAGAGGGTTCTCTGACTCAGGAGTTAGACCTGGATTTGAATTTCTGCTCAGCCATTGTGTGGCTAAGTGTCGGCATTAAGTTGTTTGGAGAAGGACTTTAAGCCAGAGTGAACCCTGGCTTTGCTTACTAGTGTGACACCTTGGACAAGTTATTTAATTAAGAATGATGATTAATAATGGAATTTACCTCATAATGTTATTATGAGGATTAGATGAATTAATGCTTAGAACAGTTCCTGACAGATGTGTGGTAAGCATCATGTCAACATCATTAGCTATTGTAGCTCTGTGACCTTGGATAAGTTAATTCACTTCTCTGAGCCTCTGTTTCCTCATTTGTAAAATGGCAATGAGAATAAAAGTATTTCATGGGGTTGAGGTGAGAATTTGCCCCTGGGCTTCATGGATTAGTGAGCACTTAACAAATGGTTGCTGGAATTAATTAGTATTATTGATCTCTCTGCATCAACACATGTGACTTCTAGCCAAGCCAGATCTTGCAGGAAGGATTGGGTGGTGGTTAAGAACCAGGCTGCCTGAGTTCTTATTCTGTCTTCACCATTTCTTAATTTTGTGACTTTGGGACAATTTGCTTAACCTCTCTGTGCCTCAGTTTCCTTTTCTATAGAAAAGTGATTCTAATGATACTTCTCTTTCCATTTTAGAAGGATTAAATGAGATGCTACATGTAAAAGGCTTAGGGCATGTGTCATTTAATTTTACTTTGGAAAATGTTAATCATTGTTCTTTTTATCTCAACCGTTTTAGCGCTGTGGCTAGCACATAGTAATTATTCAATAAATACTTGAATAAATGGTGTATGTAATTCAATATACTTCTGTTAGTACAGAGTAATATAATATTCAGAATTTAGGGACTTACAGTGGTTGTATGCCCGGTTTCCTGACTATGGGAGGGTTGGGAGTTCAGCCATTATTGCTGTTGCTTTCACAATGTGTTCTTCTGTCCCCAGCTGCCCTCTCACCATAGGATTGCAGGCACTTTGTGATGTCTAGGCCTCCTGCCTGTAATTGCTTCACTCACACCCACAGTTCTCTCTGCTTTCTCTTGACTTTGCAATACTTTCTGGGTCATCAAAGATGAGGTGGAGGTAGTAAGGAAATAGGAAACCAAGGACTGGGATTTGAAATAAAAAATTTTGGCTTCCAGGCCCAGCTCTGTCAATTTCTTTTTCTTTCTTTTTTTTCTTTTTTTTTAGCTATGTTCTCTTGGGCAAATTAGTTAACCTCTCTAGTCCTTAGAGCCCTTCCCTACAGAATAATAATATCCTCCCACATAAGATTTGTGGTGTTGGATCAAATAAGGTACAATATGGGAAGGAATTTTGTAACATAAATCAGCAAATCAAGAATAGTCTTGTTATGATTATTATAAGCTCCAGATGTGAAGTTGGGGGCTGGCTCCACAATCCTTACACTTTTGCAAGGGCAGTTGGTTGCATAAGGACAAGAAATTAACAGGCCTAAAAACATCTCTTGCTTCCTTTTCCAGCTTGACTGCAGGATCCTTTGTTTAATTCTCTTCATGCTTTTCTCTTGTCATAAAAAATTTGGTTTCTATGTTTTTGTACCTTATGAATGCATTTGAATACCGCTTCGCAGTCCCCAGGATGCGGCTATAATAAGAAAAGATAGTAGCAAGTGTTGGCTGGGATGTGGAGCAGTTGGAACCCTCATGCACTGCTGGTGGGAATGTAAAATGGTGTGGCCACTTTGGAAAACAGTCTGGAAGTTCTTTAAAGATTAAACATAAGAGTTACCATATGACCCAGAAATCCCACTCCTATGGATTCTTCCGAGAATGTTCCTTTTTCTAGTATATACTCCTAGGTATATTCTCAAGAGAAATGATAGCATATGTCCATATAAAAACTAGTACACACGTTTGTAGCAGTATTATTTGTAATAATTAGAAACAGAAGCAGCTCAAATGTCAATCAACTGATGAATGGATAAACAAGTGTGGTAGATCCATACAATTGAATATTATTCAGCAATAGAAAGGAATAAAGTACTGATACATGCTACAATGTGGATGAATCTTGAAAAGATTATGCTACAGGAAAGAAGCCAGACTTAAAAGGACACATATTTTATGACTACATTTATATGAAATGTCCAGAATAGGCAAATCTGTAGAGACAGAAATAGATTGGTGGTTGCCAAGGGTAGGGGAAGGGGGAATGGAAAGTGACTATGGAATTTCTAGTAACTATGGAGTTCCTTTTTGGAGTGATGAAAATGTTCTAAACTTGATTGTACTGATGGTTGCACATCTCTGTGGATATACTTAAAAGCACTAAATTGTATACATTAAATGGGTGAATTGATTGTTATGTGAATTATATCTCAATAAAACTGGTACAGAAGTGCATTTGAATGAGACATTAGACTGATAGAAAACAAAATATTATAATAAAACTTTTTAATTGTTTTTTTGATTGGCCGAAGAATGCAGTGATATTTATCACCAATTCAATAATGCAACATTATTACCATACCAGGTGGGACTGATATTATACATATATGTCTTTATAATGTTATGGTTGATATAGAACAGAGAAAATATGCCATAAATGGTCAAAAAAAATCTTCTCAGAATGTTCTTAATTTGAAGATAATCAACCACATATAAATAATTCATATTAGCGGTGGTTTATATTATGGCTTTTTAAATCATTAGTTATTTTTATGGGTTTTATACATGAAGCTATTGTCTTAAAATCTGCTCATGCAGTCATAACTATAACACTAATTATCCAAATTCCATCTCTTGTTTTTTCTATCGGCTAATCCTGGTGGTACTCATGAAGGAAGATGTTTGTAATAGAGCATTTAAAAATAAAGAAGTCCCCAAGTATCACTATTTTCTTTATAGTAATGGTAGGAATTACTATATGACACTTATTACCTGCTAAGGACTCTATTAAGCTCTTTATATGAATGCCTTTAAGCTTCATAGCAACTCTGTGTAGTAGATACTCTTATTTCCTTCATTTTGCACATGAGAAAAGTGAGGAACAGAGCATTTAAGCTAACAGGCCATAGGCTATTCGGCCACATGATGATAGAGCTGAGAGTTGCTGCTCTTAAGCAAGATGCTAGGCT